GCTCTGCCTAGCCAAGGATAACCTTGAATTCCTGATCCTCCTCCTCCAGCTCCCAATTGCTGGACTTCAGGAATGCACCACCATGCCCAGTTTTATGCGGTGCTGGGGATCCTAGAAATGGAGAGAAAGGATCAGATTGGTCAGATTCATGGTGTGGGTTCCAGTGTGTACAGTGTTTCGGTGAATAGCATGGCACTCCACTGGAAGATCTGCAGTGCCACAGTTCTGGGGTCTCTTGTGTGTCTCACAGTGGAGCATCATTTCCAAAGCAGTTCATTCGGGTGCACGCTGTGCCTCCCTGCTCCATAGGCTGGAGGAAGTCAGGAAGGGAGGAGACACAGGTGTCAGGCCTCCTGGAAACTCTGGAGCTGCAGTGGTGACTGAGTTGAACAGTTATCCATCCCCAACTGCTGACTACATAAGGCAGGAGCAGGCAGGGCTGAAGCAATAGAAATCAGGTGAGGGAATGAGTGAAGTTTAAAGCGCACACGATGGGGCTCTCTGAACAGGTGCTAATTCAGCAGAGGCCTGAAGGACAGGAAGAGCCGGGCAAGGCAGAGCACAGACAGCAGGTGCAGAGCAGGAATAGAGCTAGGACAGGGGAGGTGACTGAGGGGAAGGAGCCAGCCTGACACACGCCATTATCCCCTCACTTAGGAGGATCAGGGGTTCAAGGCCATCCTGGACTACGTTTGAGTTTGAGGACAGCCTGGGCTACATGAGACCTGTCTTAAAACAAAACAAACAAACAGAAACTAAGAGAGCTCTCAACTGTCCTGGTCATGGAATACAGCAATGGCAGTGACCCCGGATGACTGGCTGAGTAGCCAGGTCCATGGACTCCAACAGCAGGTTGTGGGGCATCTCGTGTCTAATGCAAGGAAGCATTTATTGTTCATCAAGTTAACTATCCGTTGGCATATCTCGAGAAGAACTTTGAGGGACGAGTTTGAGATTAAGAATTCACTGAAACTTGGCTGTTTTGCATGTTCACATTTCCCTCTGAACTTAGCTTCCCTCATCCTCACAGATGACTGAGTTGCCGGTCAACTGTCCGAAGAAACAGTTTTCCAGTAATAATACCAACAAGGCTTGGCACAAAGTAGTCACTCAAGCTTCATGGTTCCTGCATGAAACTCAATTTCAGAGGCAGGCATGTCTTGTGAAAACAGAACCATTCCAGTGCCCAGATTCCAAATAATAAAAGACGCCGGGAGTATTTTCAGGATTATTGGACTGATTTGAATTTCTCTGGAAAACAGCCTTGTAGAAGCAAGCTGTGTGTATGTGGCCTCTGTGGGATGGCTTCCCACCAGCAGCCGGCTGCCGCCAACTCCTGGCATCAGCTTGAGAAAGCGAGCTGTTTCCCACGCTCCCCCCACCCCCATCACCTCCCTGTTGAGATGTTTGTGCTTGGGAGGTTTAGATGCTGAGAACTGGGCTGTGCGAGGCACCTGGGCTGACTGCCTTCTCTGCAGACTGTCATTTTGTTCTAGGGGAGTCTTGCTAGTGCCAAGTGATGGAAAATACGTCACTTGAGGGGTTAACAACCCATGACATTTATAAAAAGAGATGGTTTTAGGACTGGGGTGGGAAGTGTAGCTCAATTGGTAGTGTACTAGCCTGGTATGTACAAAGCCCTGCGTTCCATTCCCCGCACCACATAAACTGGATCTGGTCGCGTACATCTGTAATCAGAACACTTGGGAGGTAGAGGCAGGAGAACTGGAAGTTCAAGGTCAGGAGGCTGGAACTACAGCTCGGAGGTTGAGGACTTGAGTAGGAAGCCCTAGGTCCAATTTTCAGCACCTCACAAATTAAATAAATAAATAAATAAATAAATAAATAAATAAATAAATAAATAAATAAATAAAAAGTAAATAAATAAAATAACTAACTAAATAAATAAATAATAGCTTTTGTTAACTCTGAAAGCTCTGATCCTTTTCCAACCAGGGCCCAAATTAGTGCTCAGCTTCAACCTTCTGGGAGTTCTAAGATCCTTTCTGTTTTACCCAAGTCTCTTTCTCTGGTAATGAGGGATGAAGGGACTAAAGGATGGGACTGGAGCAGGTAGAGGGGGAAACAGGCACTTACAGTCCCCTAATTAATTCTTGAGCCACTGAATCAGTTTCAGATCCACATGTCTTCAATCTGCAGCCTCTTAAAGAACAAGATGAGGCACCATTTGCAAAATTTCTCTGTGGTTAGAGAACCTCAAAAAATTTGCAGTCTTTTGTTTTGTCGTTTTGTTTTGTTTTGTTGAGTTAGTGTCTCACGGTGCAGCTCTGCCTTCACCTCACTTGAGTGCCGTGCCACATCACTAAGCAAAATATGCAGATTCTTAAGTAAAAGGGCAGTTGGAGTGGGATTCCACCTCATCAATGGAGTCTGCTAGCAGGGACAGAGCTTACCCAAGCTCACTGGCCAGAGCAGCTTTGAAACAGGCCCAGGTGTTCTGCGCTGTGTGGTATTGTATATCAGTGGCTCTGTTTCTATCCTCCCGGGGACTATGGGGTTTATCCAAGTAAGCACAGTGATGATCCGGCTGGGGAGTGAGCTCAGTCAGTAAAACACTTGTTATGCAAGCGTGTGGTGCTGACTTCAGTCCTTAGGACCCACATAAAAAAAGCCAGGGCATGGTGGTGCATGCTGTAATCCCAGCACTGGGGACAGATACAGCTAGATCCCAGAGCTACTAAACCCAGAGCTCTAGGTTAAGTGAGCTGGAGTTCAGTGAAGGGAAAAAAAAGAGAGAGAGCCTGGCATGGTGGTGCACTTTAATCCCACTAAGAGGCAGAGACAGGCAGATCTCTATGAGATTGAGGCCAGCCTGGTCTATATAGTGAGTTCCAAGCCAGGTGGAACTACAGGGAGACCCTGTCTCAAACAACAACAAAAAAGGTGGAATGAGACAGTGAAAGACACCTGTGATGGCTAATCCTGGGTGTCAATTTGACTGGATCTGGGATTAACTGAAATGAAAGAGATCTTCTTGATTGGATCATCTGAAGCTGGAAGACACGCCCTAAATGTGGGTGTTACCTTCTGATGGCAGCCCATATAAAAGGCCATGGCAGAGGAGAACGCCTGACTTCTTGCTGCTTGCCTTCTTTCTTCCTGGTGAGTTCGTCTTGCTGCTGTAGACTGAAGACTAGCTGATATTTTGGACTTCGTCAGACCTTCAGTGCCAGATCGGGACTACTGAGACATCCAGCCTCGTGGACTGAGCGGCCACGGATTCTCAGCCTCTCCAGTGTGGTGCAGCCATTGTTGGACTACTCAGACTTTATCCTGTGAGCTAAGCTGATAAATCTCTATACATATATATTCATTCTACCAG